TTTTACAAGGTGATTCCGGATACTATTAACATAATCTAATTTGCGTCCGGTATGATGCGGTATACTGCGACACGCCCACCGTGTTATACCACAGCATACCCCGCTTGTTTTGAATGGCTGCATCTGTATGTGGCTGCAAGACAGGCTTGTCTGTGCCTGTGAAGGTGAGAGGATCTCTAGAACAGGGTGCAAACACACAATGCATACAACAGGCATGCAGCCAGCTCCTCAATAAGCTCTGAGCAGTTAGCTCTGCCCACATCCAAAACAAAATAAGTCTTCCGCCCTCGAGAACGAATCTTGAGCCCTTGTCCAGGAGGCTTCAAAAACCTAAATTCAGGAGAACGGGTGGGATTTTGAAAAGGCAGACAGAAACTAGAAAAGATTGCAGCTGTTGGACACAAGAGAGGACTTGGACACCAGGTACTGAGAGCAAACGAGGAAAGCTCCAGCATTATTTTCCTCCCTCCTTGAAAACAAATTTGGACTCAGAGACAGAGGGAAGGGAAAGGAGCATAGAGACATATTGTGTAAGATGCCTTGGAGGATGCCTGAAAATAAATCTTTTTCTTTGCTGCAGTGTAAGGAGGCACACCAGGCCACCAACCAGAGTTGGTTTTGGAGATTAGAAATACTGTGCTGTTCTCTGTGGACATTTGCTTCTGGTAACTGGGGTCAATGGGGTTCTTGTACTGGTCATCATCTGTTCTGTACAGTATGTTGAGTGGGCAGTCATAGAAATTTCTGTGCTATGAGAATACTTTTATGATAAGGGAAGACTGAAATGCTGTAAATAGGGATATTATGTAGGATAACTGTCTTTAAGTGCACTGGTGGTTCTGAAAGATACAAATACCTTTTACTAAAGTACCTATTACTTAAGCCTAGCTAAATCTAAATCTGCCAGCAGCCTTATCACTCTGCAACTCACAACTGGCAACCCACTGAAGCTAAGCAGGTTTGAGCCTGGTCAGTACCTGGTTAGGAGACCTCCTGGGAAAAACTAAGGTTGCTGCCGGAAGAGGTGTTAGTGCAGCCAGCAGGGGGCCCTCACTCTGCGGTCCATGTGGGTCCTAATGCCCCAGTATAGTGACAGGGACACTATACGATAAACAGGTGCCATCCTTCAGATGAGACGTGAAACCAAGGTCCTAACTCTCTGTGGTCATTAAAAATCCCAGGGCGTTCTTGAAAAGAGTAGGGGTATAACCCAGGTGTCCTGGCCAAATTTCCCATTGGCCCTTACCAATTATGTCATCCTAATAATCCCCTAATAATAAGAATTGGCTTCATTAAGTGCACTGGTGGTTCTGGACCCACCTGTTTACCGTATAGTGTAAATGAATTGGCTTTATTACTCTGCTCTCCTCCCCACTGATAGCTGATGTGTGGTGAGCGTTCTGGCTCACTATGGCTGCTGTTGCATCATCCAGGTGGGGCTGCACTCCACTCAAAATGCTTTACATTACCTATAAATACCTGCGCTATATAAGTGTAATGAATTATTATTATTATTATTATTATTATTATTACATAGCAAAAATAGTTCCTGCATTTAGGGCTTGCAATCCATGACATTAACAGCTACTGCCAAATCACCATATGGCTTGCAATATATTATCATAACTAAGTTATGTTTGTCAACATTGCAAATTATTTATAAAGTATTAGAATATATTAATTCATTCATCTCCAGTAAAACAAGTTCACCCTCTAGATACTGTAGCTACTAACCTCCTTGGTAAACGTGTGCCTATCTTTACCAGTCAAAGCCCGGTTTGTCAAATGACCTTGAAACACAGAATCAACAGTATTGATGTAACTTGACTTTCCAGCGCTGATCTGTCCGGCCATCATGATTCTTATTTCTTTTACTTCTTTGTATTTTGGTGTTAAGGATCTTATTTCTTTCATCAGTCTGTCTTTCTCACTGCAAACAAGAAAGAACACATCACATAACAAAGGAAAATTAAACTTCATAGATGGGTGTATGACTGTTTTTCTACACTGTTCTTTGGGTAGATATTTATTGTAAAAAACAGCATGACTGACTGAAATACAAAGTAAAAGTAAATATTTAAATTTTTTATTTATACTTTACCACAATATTATAAGTAGAGGCCACTCAACTCAACTTATACCATCATTTTTCAGTCCAAAAAATATGTTTCTATACAAAATTCTACCAGTCTTTCTCTTCTCATATTTTTTTCTAATTTTTGCTATTCAACTCAGAACATCTTTGTTAATATACAGATCCAGCCATTAAAAATATGCACCAGATAATGCAGCAGATTGCAGTGCACACACCTTACAACACCATATTACACTGCACATTTTTTAAAATATTCTGCTCTGGGACTGAACTACTTAGTAAAACTGCCAGGTCATGCAGTGAATGCATAATGTGGCATGTGGAAGCATTTGGGCTGTTGCCGGAAAATGCCTGGTTTCAAATCCCAGTCAATGCTTAGCTCCTTGAGATAAACTTTTTCCAGGTTTAGAATTTAGGTTGTATACTGTTTAGACTTGTATTAATTTTAAACTGTGTGTTGCAGTATGTTAAATATTAAATTAATTTTAAAAAGAAAGTAGGGCTACTGAAAAAAACAAAATTACTCAGCTGGATATATAAAAGCCAGCGTCTTATTATACGGTAGCTTGTTGTGAACATGATGTGCTTCTTTCAGGTTTACATTCACATTGAAATAATTTATATTTTTGTCTTAATGTAAATTTCATCAACGAGTAATTGGGAAACAATCTAATTTTAAATTACGATTATGCAAAATATGTCATGCAAACTTTACTGCAGTAGCAATCAAATGGCTTGTTTTATTTAAAAAATAAGTTATCCTTATTGTGTGTACTGTAGTTTTAGAAGATGAACAAAGACGACATTCCCGACATGTCACACGTGCAAATCACATGAAAATCATACCTCAGTCAAAGTAATATTAACAATACTTATGTGCCAACAGGTTTCTTAGTATCTTTAACAATATATTAATCTATGGGAACGGTAGGGTATAACACTTTCTTTGTACACATCTGCATCAAATTCTTTAACTTATTATCTTGTGGTTATTTTGGAAAAATGTAACGTTTGTTTTTAAACTACATTATGCTGCTGATGCTGTTGCAATAGACAATTAAACACTTAATGGGATTCACATGTGTGGTACATCGGACAATGTTTTGAGGCTCTGGTGAAATTTCTCTGTAAACTGAAGAGTTAAAGAGGGGACAATTATGTATCACCTCCTTTTAAAAAGGAACATTCTAATGTTAATGTGACACGGAAGATATTATTAATAATTCATCAAGTTTGGCGAGAACGGACACTGAGACTCAGACTTTGTGGAGTGAAAAACGGTGCTTTATTTCTTTTCGGCACAACCAGCCAGCCAGCACTCCCGCGTGCCAGAGAGACAGCGGGCAACGCCAGAGAGAGAGAGAGTGCCAGAGAGAGAGAGAGGTACAAATTCCCACTTAACAACAACACATTGGAGCACTCATCCAGCTACACATATCTCGGTCTCACCATCAGCTCATCTGACCTGGCAGTGAAGGCACTGAGGGAGAAGGCACTCAGGGCTTTCTACGCAATAAGAAGGAGGCTCTTCAACATCAATCCACCAACAAGAATCTGGCTCCAAATATTTGAAAGTGTAATCCAACCCATTGCCCTATACGGCAGTGAAGTGTG